TACTGATATAAATTAACAAGAACAATACAGCCGTAAAACATATAGTTTACCTGTACACTACTGATATAAATTAACAAGAACAATACAGTCGTAAAACATATAGTTTACCAGTACACTACTGATATAAATTAACAAGAACAATACAGTCGTAAAACATATAGTCTACCAGTACACTACTGATATAAATTAACAAGAACAATCCAGTCGTAAAACATATAGTCTACCAGTACACTACTGATATAAATTAACAAGAACAATACAGCCGTAAAACATATAGTTTACCTGTACACTACTGATATAAATTAACAAGAACAATACAGTCGTAAAACATATAGTTTACCAGTACACTACTGATATAAATTAACAAGAACAATCCAGCCGTAAAACATATAGTCTACCAGTACACTACTGATATAAATTAACAAGAACAATACAGTCGTAAAACATATAGTCTACCAGTACACTACTGATACAAATTAACAAGAACAATCCAGCCGTAAAACATATAGTCTACCAGTACACTACTGATATAAATTAACAAGAACAATACAATCGTAAAACATATAGTCTACCAGTACACTACTGATATAAATTAACAAGAACAATCCAGTCGTAAAACATATAGTCTACCAGTACACTACTGATATAAATTAACAAGAACAATACAGTCGTAAAACATATAGTCTACCAGTACACTACTGATATAAATTAACAAGAACAATACAATCGTAAAACATATAGTCTACCAGTACACTACTGATATAAATTAACAAGAACAATACAATCGTAAAACATATAGTCTACCAGTACAATACTGATATAAATTAACAAGAACAATACAGTCGTAAAACATATAGTCTACCAGTACACTACTGATATAAATTAACAAGAACAATCCAGTCGTAAAACATATAGTCTACCAGTACACTACTGATATAAATTAACAAGAACAATACAGTCGTAAAACATATAGTCTACCAGTACACTACTCATATAAATTAACAAGAACAATACAGTCGTAAAACATCTTGCACACCTTATGTTTTCATTTTTTTTACTTGTCAATTTTCAAACAAATCTTTGCAGTCAAACCTATAAGCCCCCCCCCAAAAAAAAACACAATCATTGATTGCCAAACGGAATGCGAAATTGAACAGTTTTAACATCTAAGAATGTGGAAATTTTCAGTGATTATTTATTACATGTTCTTACCTATTGTAATGTAGTCCATGTAGTTAAACCTGAAAATTCTCCAAACCCCTTTGATCCCTCATTTGGTGGTATCGATGTTTTTTGAAAAAAAGCCTAAAAAATACTTATTTCGTATTTTTCTTTACACGTTCGTGTAATTTTTCATATATGAGTTATAATTTAAAAGTTTCCAATATTAAAATTTAGATTACTATTTTGAGCAGCTCCTTACATGTCGAAACTTAAAACCCCCAGACCCTTCATCTTCCCTTTCTGGGGGGGGGGGGGTCTCTTGCGACTCATTTCAAAGAAATTAATATTTTCAAGTTTATTTGGTCACGAATTGTGGAAGGAGTTAAAAATCACATAGACAAAATTAAGAATCTATTTGTAGATAATCAAAATGTATTTTACAAATGAGATGCTCGCTTAATAAACGATATGAACCATCATCTTGTACTGTGTATATCTGCGTTGTTAAATTCTCTTTAAGTAAGCAATATTATATAATTTTGGTGTGGAACGCTATTAGTGAAATGGCTGAACGGAATATATGTCATTGTAGATATAATTTTATTTACACCTTTTTTGTTATTTAAATGTCCTAGTGGTTGGCGTGTCAGGCTGTAGCTTAATAGGTCCAAGGGTCGAGACGACATTCTGTTGAACACGCTCCACATTTTCAGTTGTGTGCGTGTTATGATAGCAACCCCGTTAGTTGATTATCTATACGTAGCTCATGTGATGGCGGTAGGTACTGAATGGTCGTCTTCCTTCTTCTGGTGGTTAGCAGTTCCAGAATGGAAACAGTGATGCCTCAAGATTGGGATCTCTGACCTGGCCGTTTATCCCACGTGTGCTTAAGATGTTATTCAGGTTGAAATTTATAACTAAACTTGTACCCGGTGGGACAGCGGTAAGCGAACGGACTTACAACACTAATATCCGGGGTTCGATTCATCTAGAAACCGAATAATTAACATTTGAATTAATTCGTACTAGGGTCTAATTATTTTCCATATTCCAAGTCAGGAAAAATATTTCTTTCAGAAAACAGAGTTATTTCCTATTGAATAAATAGTTTCTCACAATATCTTAAGTCTCCTCATATTTTCAAGTCATAAAACCGGTGTAACATAAAGTCATTGCACATGAGCATCTTGTTGCACTGAGCTACTCAATTCCGAAAACACATTAAATCTATTTGAAAACCAACCAAAAACAAGTCTACCATTGCACCAAACATAAAATTCACTAATGAAATATAATACGCAAGAATAATTTATCTAGACACAAAACAGTTTTCACTGTGACACTTGTGCTTAGTATATATATACAATAATTGAAACAATTGAAAAAATATGGTAACTCCAGGAATTCTAATTATACTGATATTTGAGAGAGTGTTTGGCTAGTTAATTCTAATTATACTGATATTTGAGAGAGTGTTTGGCTAGTTAATTCTAATTATACTGATATTTGAGAGAGTTTTGGCTAGTTAATTCTAATTATACTGATATTTTAGAGAGTGTTTGGCTAGTTAATTCTAATTAAGCTGATATTTGAGAGAATGTTTGGCTAGTTTACCACTGATTCTCTTCACCATTTCTCTGCTTCTTGTTTTTTTTTTTTTTGTTTTTATTTATCTTACGAACTATTATTTAGAGTTATTAATGTAAAGAACTAACAGTCTGGGGACTGAGAAACATAACTTAATTATGACTCCCTTGTTTTATTTTTAAGGATTATAATTCATTTCACGAATGATTAAGAGTTTACACTGCCGACTGATGATTAGCGTAATTGGAAAATTAATGAGACTTCAGCTCAAAGTTAAAAGCATTACTAAACGTGTGGTCATTAAAGTATAAGCCCAAGGCACAATAGATTTATTACGTTATTATTTTTAATTGAATCCGGAATAATCAGGATATAGGATGAAGTTCAAACAGGTAGCAAATAATATTTCTGAGAGCGTTGCCTATTAATAGAGCGTATAATTATATTTTATTTTCAGGAAACTCTCCAAAAGACTTTGTTCCAGTTTATAACAGTCATCATTACGTTATATTTGGCAACGGATCTCTAATGATTAGAGATGCCACCAGGGGAACTGGAGGTTTTTACCTGTGTCAAGCCAGCAACAACGTCGGCGCAGATCTAAGCAAACTTATCTCTTTCAATATTCATGGTAATATAATTGGGTTAAATACTTAATGTTGTTTAAATCATTACGTCAGAAAAATGAGAGGATAAGATCAGAAATAGCGACAAATTCCATTTAGATGAACTAAAAATAACGCTTGCCCTGCAGCAGCGAGTGCAAAATCGGTATAACCTAGTTTGCTAAGCCTATTTTACATTCATTATAGTGTAATGTTCCGTCTTGGTGTCACATTCTTATCAGTCATTGTCAGAAACATTTCGGCTCACTATGTGGAAGTATTTATTTCAGAATATGGGTGTGTGTTAAATTAAAGTAATCTATACTGTATGTTTAGGATGCACTGAAAACTAATGTTTATTTTTCTGAATACTTCAAAATTAAGCCTATAAACTGTCAATAAGCTGAACTGCGTTGCCTTAAAAATGAGGATAGGTTTATAACTCACACACAACTGTTATGCAACTTTATCTTCATTAGTCTTATAAACTACTCTAAACGTATTTGAATGTGGCAGTGGTAGAAAAAAATCGTAGAAACCAATAAAACCTTATTGGTATAAATGAGAAAATAACAATTATTTATTCTAAAGACAAAAATAGCAAAATAAGAAATGTTAACATTTTACTTTAGTGGAAAACTAACTTGGGTAATAAGGAACTACAAAAATATAGATCAGTTTTTAACCATGACGTCAAAGATCTCTCAATTCTCAATGGTGATAATTTCAAAATTGTGCTTTAATAAATGTTTGGAATATGCAGTTTTACGCTGTCTTCTTGGGATTCTATAAATGTAACCCCTGAAGAACGGCTGTCAGTCCGTGGATTCTTTAAATGTAACCCCTAAAGAACGGCTGTTAGTCAGTACAAAACCTGAAACGTTATAAACCATTTTATTTCTCACTTATGATTTACAATAGACGTGTTTGTGTGCTGTATAGATGATTTTGCAAGACGTAAAATAATAATAGCGAGCTGGTCAACATTACGGTTTAGGTATTGTCCTGCCAGAATTGGCTTCTTCTCCAAGAAGTTTTATTTTAGCTGTATATATCTGAAAAATGGCGTTCACCGAAAATGCCGTATATCAAAGCACTTTCTGCGTGTTCTAAATCCACATTCGTTTTTTATGAAAGATCACGTCTAGTTTGTCAGGTTACGGAATTACCGTTAGTTTTGATTGATGATACAATGTTGACTGATAACCACAAGTAGTAGAAACGATATATCAACAATTAGATACGCTGAAGCATTTAGAAATATTTTAATACTCTATTCCAGAAAAGGAGAACAATAAACGATAAAAAATGTGTGTAGACTAAGAAATGGCATTAAATGTTTCTAGCTTTGTTTGTTGGTTGTAAATTTATGGATCTGACCAATCCTTTGAATAATGTTTAATGGCTCTTGCAGGGATATGACTCAGGATATGATTAATTTTTCAAAAACAAACTTGCCTTAAAAAAATTCAAAATCAGGAGCTTAAAGAAGTGACGTAATCATTCCCTTGGTTACCAAAGCTACGTCTTTAAAGCTATAATCAGCTAAAAGTTTCCATTCAACTAAACCAAGGTGAACTATGAGAATCAGTACTACTTAAGTTAAATGTTCTTATAAATGTGTTATCACACATGTATAGGTTTCAAACCTGAATACCTTCAAGGTCATTTAAGGTGAAAAAATTGCCCGCTATCAAGGGAGTCAAAAAAACTTTAGGTTTACTTTCTTTCGGAACCTCACAGCACCACCGGAAGTTCGAGTTCAACAGCAAGTTTACTCAGTCGCTCTTGGCAACAAGCTGGAACTCTCGTGTCTTGCCACGGGCGACCTTCCAATGGACATCTACTGGAGCAAAGATAGTGGACGTGATGGACGTTACATACTGAAACCTAACGGAAGGTAAGTGTACGTGTTTATCCCGGATATCTAAAATTAGATACAAAGAAATACACTTGGTTCGTCAGTGACGTCACTTCTTTTTTATAAATGGTATAATCTATTGTAGTTGCTTCGCCTCCTCGTTTCCATATTATATTCCATTCTTATTAGGAACTTCAAAGTAACATAGTTAATTTAAAATAACACAATATAAAATAAATTCTACCGTTGTTAAATGTATAGTAAGTAAGTACTCCTATTCTTAACGTTAGTGTGTTAAGTTAACGTTACCAAATTTGTTAGTAATTAAATGTATCCGTGAAGCACAATACGATAGGATTCGCTGTGGACGGACTGAATTGACTCCAGTATATAATTACTGCACCGAATTTCTATTAATATTAATGTGCGTTTGTAGAATACTAATTTATGTGTTATTTTAAGATTATTCTTTCTTCAACTTGTCAAAGTTTTGTTAATTTCTCAACTTCGAGGTTGTGCCTCATTATGATGAAATAAACAATTCTAAATTTCTCCCCTGTAAAACTGTTTCTACCTTGTAACTTCTTGGTTGTGTCTCATTATGATGAAATGAACAATCTTGAATTTCACCCTTGTAAAACTGTTTTTACCTTGTAACTTCGAGTTTGTGTCTCATTATTATGAAATGAACAATCTTGAATTTCACCCCTGTAAAACTGTTTTTACCTTGTAACTTCGAGGTTGTGTCTCTTTATGATGAAATGAACAATCTTGAATTTCACCCCTGTAAAACTGTTTTTACCTTGTAACTTCGAGTTTGTGTCTCATTATTATGAAATGAACAATCTTGAATTTCACCCCTGTAAAACTGTTTTTACCTCGTAACGTAGAGGAAATTTGTCGTCTAATGAACACATGGCCAAAATTCAATTAAAGTATAGAATAAACTGACAAGTTTGGGCTAGGGAATCAACAAAAGTTGCCTTAAAAATAAAGTTAAAGTTGTTTAGTAGGATTCCGTCATCCAAATACAAACATGAAACACGTGGTAATTCTGATAAGTTGAGGGATTTAGTATGTTATCGTATGGTGCTGCTATCTACTGTCGAATCTATAAATTAATTTTAAAGACCTAAAAACGTTTAAACAGACCATATAAAAATTCCGGTTTGATTTTTATTGTCATCCGTCAATATATAATTGTCAATATAGAACTTGTGACATACGTGCGGAGTGCATTGTTTTAGGCCGAGCTTCAACTACCAGCATTAGAAACTACACAACAAACCTCAAAATTACTTGCCTATTAAGAATAAAAGAAATCATTACTATACAAATAAGTACAATATGAGCTGTTGTATAAAACAGTGATCACAGTTCTGTTACCATCTGGACTTTGAGTTCGGTTCGTTTGATAGATGGCAACTGTTAACGACAACAACTCCTGAAAATTTATCGTAGTTCAAGTGCTAAATAGAAATTGGTGTTATTTATTTATTGACGATCACCTCACCACGTTATAGATTTTCTTCACAGAATTATATTGGTTAATTATAAATTAGATTCATTCATATTGAATATCAGTATTTGTTGAGAAAAAATGTTTTAGTAGAGTTTAAAAACTTCTAAGTTAGTTTTCAAATACATCTCGTCATAACAGGTACTTGAACGAAAGGCTGCATTATATTATTATTATACATTGAGAAAGTATACATTTGGTGACATCTAAAAGTCTGCGCCAAAATATGTCATGGCTACATAATTTTCAATGTTTTCATTAGAAAATCTAATGTCATTTCTTACAGCTAATATTGGTGATGAGCCGGGAATGGCCTATAGCTAATGTGTCGGGCTGCGGGTTGAAGGGTATGGACTAGAGACGTGATTCCGCTGAACACACTCCAAAAATTCAAATGTGAGCACGTAATGAATTAACAGCCAGTCTCGTTATTGAGTTCAAAGAAATAAAAACCTCCCTTGTGGCAACGGTTGTTGCTGGCTAGCTGCTGCCCTTCTGTTCATTAGTTCAAGATTAGGGATGGCTATACCTAATCCATAGAGCTTCATATCTGACCGTTTTGTCTACGTGTACATAAAGGTGTCCATTCAGATTGAGAATTCCAATTCTGTATTGGTTTTTCTCATTAGCATATATATATTATAAAACATGAATTTGTACTGCTATAAATAAAGCTTAGCTTTTTCATATATTTTTTCAGACTCATTTTGTTCAAATATACATTAAACTAATTAACTTTGCTTAGATATGATAGTTATAGTTATTCTCTGAAAGTAGTTGTAAATTAACATAATTATAAAGAAAAATGATAAGTTTATCTGTTATCAACATTCTTAAAAATATTTTTATTGACAACGATTCGGCCATTTGACCGCGTCAGGTGTTCGTTAACAAACCTGTTAGGCTAATGAAACAAAGGGATAAATCATAAGCCTAAGATATTTGTTAGCGGATATTTTGTACCTGAAGTGTCCAATGGGCGAAAAGCTGCACAATATAAATATGTTAAGAGGGTTGTTATTAATAAGACTTATAATTATCTTCCTTTTATTTAAACATAGTCGACTTAGGCTACAGTGTAGCCATTTACTTTCAATAGTGTAAGATATATTATAGTTGTAGAGTTCTGATGATTCTGTTATGTATTATTAATTTAACAGTGTTTGTGATATTCCTTGTGAACTATATTAACTCTTGGATTTTTGATGGTTTGTTCAGAAGATATGCGTAAAATTATCGTTAATTTGGATCCACCAACGTTTTATTATCACCAAAAGTTTCTAAATAATAAATAAAACTTTGCAAAACTGCGATCAAATCAGACAATTTCCCATTTTGTAGATATAAAGTTAAAAGACATATTTGAAGTATATGAGTCGTGTAGGAAAGAACCCTTAGATTTATATAAATTGAGAGCAACTTTAAAATGTTAGAATGTTTTCCTGTTCTCTAGTGTATATTTCGTGCGATACTTTTCCAGGTATATATTTGAAGAGAAAAATGGGGAAAATTTTAAGGAGTCCATTTTGTTCATCGCTGTAAGTGAGAGAAACGACACAGACAGGTTTAGTTGTCACGTGACAAATGAATATGGAAACACCACGGCGAATTTTCAGGTGATTGTACAGGGTGAGTGAAAGTTTACTTTTTATATAAATGTGATTTTTTTTTGTTCTCGTTTTCGAATTTTTAATACTTGACATTTGGAATAATTCATATTTGATGTTAAACAGTTAAAAAATTTTGTTCTCATCAAAGTTATTTTTAGTTAAACACATAAAGATAATAGACTTTTGTCTATATTAATTACTGTGTAATGTTTGCTATTGGCGATAGATGGCACAAGTTGTACCTGTAGGTTTTTTTATTTCATAGAGGATTTAGGCAGATCATTCAGGATAAACAGACAAAGATGAAATGGATAGGAACTTCATAGGTCCCATTGACAGTTGTATTGACAATTGTACTGTTGTACAAACGGTATAATTTTACATTGTTATATTGGCGCATACATCTACATGAACAATAAATAAATTGTAGATTATATTATATATACATACAAACACAAATATGTGTATAAATATATATGGTCTTGAAATTAATGGAAAGATCCTTCATGAAGATAACTTCTTTCCGTGGATGAAATGCTCAACAATTATTTTTCGCAGTGGGTGGTATAAGTAACTCAGAGTTTTGGTTCTGAATAAAACCAAGAATGCTACACAATTAACCTTTTTAAAGTCTATGAAATAATTAAATTCATAGATTAACTTAAACTTTTCCGTCACTGGGGACGGGTACTTTTGCTTGTTACATACAAAATAAGTGATACTTAAAAATAAGAAAAACTAAAAGAAAGTATATCAGTTAGACCTTAGTTCATTGTACATTTCTTAGATGTTGACTGTATTTGGATATAAATATGCTGAGAGAGAGAGAGATCTCTACCAACCTATCCTCGTGAAACGGGTCTACGGATAAGTCGTTACCTTTAGTTTTTAGAGATCTTAAATAGTAAAATTTTACTCTTTTGCTTAATCTTCGGTTTCAAGAAGTTTACGGATACAACAGTGTATTTACAGAGGCACCAGGAATGCCATCTGGTGTCAGGATTGCGAAGAAAACGGGAAGATCATTAACGTTAACGTGGGACCAACCTCTAAACGGCCATAGTCCCATCACTAGATATCACATTCAATACCAGCAACAAGATTCAGGTATGTTGAGGATAAATCTTACCTCTGGTCAAATTATTTCACTTTTTAATTTACTAAAAGCCAGTTATTAAATTGTTTACACCTGTTGCTTCTTTGACAACTGAGCTGTAGGCAGGTTCTGAGATAATTACGCTACATACTGATTCTTTAAACCTAGAATACTTTTTTAAAACACGTTTTTCTAAACTATTTCTACACTAAATTTCTTGTGGGTCCATAACTTTGTTGGTTCTAAGAGCTAACAACTGCTGGAGCCCTCTATGTATTTTACATAGCGAAAGAGTGGTTCTACTTTGGTGTTTGGTGAGATCGTTACTACACCCAGAGTTGTAAAAAGTTAAACATATAAATTACCTAAAGCGATGTAATATTTGGGCCCCCGCCGGTAATAAACGGAATAAAAATACGTCTGGGGGTTAATAGCTTGTAAAAAAAGTTGAATTAGCACTTTTATGTTCTGTTAAAAATTATATATTTTATTAATTTTAAATAAACCTCTTTCCACTTTATTATGACTGTAGACAGGTGTATTCTAAATAAGCTTGTATCCACTTTAATCTTACTGTAGACAGGTGTATTCTAAACAAGCTTGTATCCACTTTAATCTTACTGTAGACAGGTGTATTCTAAATAAGCTTGTATCCACTTTAATGTTATAGACGGGTGTATTCTTAATAAGCTTGTATCCACTTTAATGTTACTGTAGACAGGTGTATTTTAAATAAGCTTGTATCCACTTTAATGTTACTGTAGACAGGTGTATTCTAAATAAGCTTGTGTCCACTTTAATGTTACTGTAGACAGATGTATTCTAAATAAGCTTGTATCCACTTTAATGTTACTGTAAACGGGTGTATTCTAAATAAGCTTGTGTCCACTTTAATGTTACTGTAGACAGGTGTATTCTAAATAAGCTTGTATCCACTTTAATGTTACTGTAGACAGGTGTATTCTAAATAAGCTTGTATCCACTTTAATGTTACTGTAAACGGGTGTATTCTAAATAAGCTTGTATCCACTTTAATGTTACTGTAAACGGGTGTATTCTAAAAAAGTGGATACAAGCTTAAAATG